CCTTAACTCTTGTGACATTCATGTTTCAGGGGTGATGTTGTCAGCAGAGATAAGATGCTAGTGACTCTTTGAGGTTAAAGGGTGAATAAATAATTCAAAATAAATAATTACTGAAAAGAGCCTCTATTTAACAACATTTTTCTGAGCAAAAGGCTCAAGAAAAGTTCTGAGCTTACTGGAACAGAAAATGTCTTAAGGCAGAGAGTATGTCTGCACTAAAATGACAGCTATTATTTTTATCATTCCCCAAAAATTTTTGCATTATGCAAAACAAATTGATGAAAAAACAGCTTGACATCAAAGGTGTTTCTATGGATGCTAGTTGTTCAGCTTTTGCAGTTAAGGCAATATCAATGAGCAAGCTTTTCTCCTCTTCTGTAACAATGAAATGCTCCCTATCTTGAGTTGAATTCTCTCGTTAAATGAAGGCTCTCTTTGCATCAGACTTAAGATTTCATAATTGGAGAATACATTTTGGTGAATACCACTTTGATGTTGCCAGTTTAAGCTAAAGTATATATTAGTGTGATGTGTTTAGACTAGTACAATTTTGCATCACCAAAAACATTTGATGCACAATGAAATATTAAAATATTATAATATCAAAAATTTTTAATTTGCCTCAGTGAACCATTTGTACGCTGGTCACGATTCCATTAAGGATTCTGATGCTTTTTCTTTCATATGGAATTGGAGGTTTCTTCCATTTGGTAATTGGATAGAAATTTTAAAAAATGAAGCTTCGGTAGGCAATTTAAATTTTCAAGTTGGCATTTAGAGCACAAACACTCTAGTGGAATAAAATAAGGACCACGGTTCAATTAATTAATACTTCAAAAAAAGAAAATCTGCCTGGGCACATAATTGCACTCAATTAAGTTGAAGCCCACCGGTATTGTGTCTTATCTCTTTAACCGGCAAAAAAATTTGCATTTAAATTGAAGTTACTAAAAGCACACTTAACGAATTATAAACAAATGCACAGGAAATCAATGGGCTTTCTGTCAAAAATAGGAAAAAAAATGAATAAATTTTAGTTTGATGTTAACTTAAAGTTTTCATGTGCATTCGATTAATCGCGCACAGTAGAACGTACCCACAAATTCGTTTTTAAAACACTTTCCAGTGGTCGTGAACACTCCTTTAGTAATTAAAAGGGACAGAAAAATCCAAGCAATCATCTTGTTCCTTCCATGGCAAAAATCGAACACCTGACTCTCCAAATTGGTCCAGATTTACCAGCTGCATAGAGACCTGCACCCACGCGGGAACGGTCGATATTGTTTTGAACGAGCTATCCGTTTGGTAGACTGGGCAAGAATAAGTGAAAAGGCCAGGCTGCTGAGTCTCCATAAGGTTTCAATATGGCGGACGGGTTGTGTTGAATTTGAAATCAGGCTTTAACGAGAAAATAGACGCGATGAAAAAGAAAAACAGCAAGAAGCAGGTCAAAGTAACATCCACTCTCGACGAGCAAACTTCCAGTTATTTCAAAAGGGTAGAAGATATGATAAATGAAGACGATTTTGATGATGATGAGAGTCGAAAGCTATTTATGGAAAACGTGTTTACACAAGTTGAAAACAACGAGGTTAAACTTTCCTGTGATATGATAGTCAGCAGAACTATGGAGAAGCTGATCGTTTATTTGAACGATATCCAAATTCGCCGCGTAATACAAAACATTGAGGATCATTTCTGCCAAATCGCCATGGACAAATTCGGTAGCCATGTGCTCCAATCGCTCATTTGTGCTATTCCAAAAGCAATAAGGTCGGAGCGCAGTAAAAACAGAGAATTTAAAAATAATATCGACGATTTGAAAAGTGCGGAGGAACTTTTCCTGAGTCTCTGTGATTGTTTTCGAGAGAATATAGGTGAACTTGTCAGCCATACTTACGGAAGCCATGTTCTTAGAACTGCCTTTGAGGTGCTGGGCGGTGTGAAAGTTGCGGATAATGTGGTACGTAGTCGAGCCTCACGGCGAAGTAGAGAAAAAAGTTATCAATCAGAGGAGAAAAGACAGTCAATCAAGCAGAGTCAAGGTATTAAACATTTTAATTAAGTGTACAGCTATCAGGGGTTTCAAAACAAGCTAGTAACAGCCAGAATTCTGCCGGTTACTTGATAACGTGTTGCTGGTTACTCTGGTCAAAATAATTACCTTTTGGCTCTTAATGAACTTTTCACAGTCATCCATTTTTGCAGAGCCTGATACTTCAAAACATTTTGAAACCCCTGAACTATGTTAGCTGATTCTTTCTAGAGGCTCATGAAAAGAATTGACTCATGATGAGTAGAATAACAGGGTAAATAGATAACAGGTGATATTAAAGTTTTTTTCAGGGCGTATAACGTAAATGACTAATCAAATAGGCTGTATTTCAGCTGAAAAGAAGTGTATAAAGAGCAAAAGTTTATCATGCTATGGGTGTATTGAGTGTAACCAGTAATATCAAATGAATGTAAGTGCCACTGTCACAAGTGAAACTGGAAGAAAATGGAGTGAACTTGTATTCTTCAAAATTACTAGTGCTCTTAGTTTTACCTGCAACTGGCTGGTTTTTTTTTATATCAATTATAGAGAACCGGAGGGTAGAAGAAATCAGGTGCTTTCAAGGCCAAGATTTAGAATTACATATCACTCTATCATGAAACAATTGTAAAAGAAACTGCCACTTTTGAAACAAGTTGTTATAAAATTGTCAAAATGATTTTTCAATTTAAAGTTTATTTGTATTATTGTGAATGAGGTATTTAGTGTGAGAAAAAGTAGATATAGTGCATGTGGTGTATCATGATTGTTTCTGTTACCTGGATAATCTCTCTTATACTTTCCTTTTATCATACAGTGGGAAATGCCTTTGGAACAGAGGCCATCACACATATGGAGACAGTTGCAGTTCCAGATAGCTTTCTACCTGTTCTCAAACAACTCACCAACATAATAATTAAAATGGAACTCCAAAAATTGGCTCTTCACCCAGTAAGTAATCCCCTCTTGCAGACATTACTACTGGTTCTACACAGGAAAGATCAGTCATTGTGTATGAAGTTATGCAAGGCGGTTATGTCTCAAATTGACATGTACAACAGTAAGAAAGGAAGGATCAAAGGACCCAGAGAACCTAAGGAAAGTGACAGTGAGCAGGCCCAAAAAGAGCAAGAAAGGTAATGGTCATATCTGCATAAAGAACAACAGCAAAAAAAATTACATATATTGGTTTGATGAAATTAACTGCAAATTTGAGATGGCAAGCAAGGGCAGTGACTGTGTCATGTTACTATTGTGTTTTGTTGCACATGATTACATCACATTCTAAAGTTCTTGTACCAACAGGTGCTCACAGGGTGTGAATAAATTTGTTCATCATGGCTGTTTTTAAATTTAAGTTATGACATCATGTACATACTGTTGTATATAGGTTGTATGATTTCATGTACTGTTTGTTTCTTTCATTTTCAGAAGCTACAGGGTACCTGTTCTGCTTTCAAATGAGATCAGCAGTCACTTGGTTGAAAAGATTTTACATGTTGTTACACCTGAGCTTTGGCAAGAGATTTATGATTCTTACTTCAATACTCACTTGGTTCAGTTGTCCTGCCATCCTATTGCTAATTTTATTGTACAACATCTGATGGCAAGCACAACAGATAAAGCTCAGGTTAGATTTGTTTTCTGTTATTTACTGTTTACTTATTTTTGGTAATTGTTGTGATAATTTCACGTAGTGAAACCTTTAAAAAGCAGGCACTTTCATTACTCTATCCAGTGTTGGCTTAACCCTTTATATCAGTATGCAAATTCTCCATACTGTTCTCCATACCTTTCCCATGATTCTTACAAGGAGAATTTGTCTAACAATCAAGAGTTTCTCTAGTTTATGATCACTTCCTTTATTCTCATGACCTTAATGAATGATTCAGCAATGATACTGTTGGGAGATATTAGATGCTTATCACTTGAAGGGTTAGTGAGGTTAACCAGGTTAAAGGGTTATTTCAGCAAGGACTCTTCAAATATGGTTCATATTTAATCCAGCACATCATTTTTTTTGTCCTATGATTGACTGCAATCTTTTTAGTTGTGATTGTGAGTAGTGAGATTCAAGAAGAAGTCATTTGTTACAGTCATTTTAAGTCCCTGGATTATAAGTTGACTTTTCTGTGATTTAGGCAAAGCAAATGTTAGCAGAGCTGCTACCATATCTGGAAGATCTCCTTGCTAATGAGCATATGGGTATTGTAGTAAGAATGGCTGAAGTTGCTGTGCGGTTTGTGATCAAGCAAAAAACAATGTTGAAAGCACTGCTGCAAGCATTTCACTGTGAAGAAAAAGAGGAACAATCCAGTGCTGTTCTTTTGTTCTTGTCATTAACAACTTATGACATTTTCTATGGAACAAAGTTAAATGAAAAAGGAGAAAGTGAAGAAGGTGTCAATACTATTTCGGTGAGTAAACTGGGGTTGTTTTGGTTGTAACTGCCTTGTTAGCTCCGGTTGTAGAACGTCAAACTGTTTAGTAGAAGGTTGTGGGCTCAAGCCCCAGAGCAAACCAATACTCAGGGTCTTGAAATAGCTGAGGAGTATGTGCAACCTTTTTTGTGACACCTGCAATTGTTTGATGTTATAGTCTTCTTGGATAAAGATGATAAACTGTACACCCCATTTCCTGCAACTTCTTTGTATTAATTAGTTAACAGGGGTAGTTAAAGAACCCAAGCACTTCTCCCAAATAGTAGGGAATGTACCCTACAGAAATTGGGGGCGTCTGCAAAGTTTTCCTTCATCTTTTTACCAATTCTTATATTATTGTTAGAATTTATTTATTTATTTATTTATTTTATTATTGTTTTTACTTCTTAGTGTAACAGGGAATTATTTGTCTTGTAGTATTTACTTTTAAATTAGTTGGTGTGTAATTTCATTATGTAATGTCACACCTGTATAGCTAGGTCTATGATATAATAAACTTGCATT